TAACATTAGATATTTTTTCCCCCATAAATAACATAGAGAAAGTGAGCGGAGGATAGAGAAAATAAAATTGGTGATCCCCACATATTTATTGTCTTTAATGTAAATTTATTTTGGGTGCAGTAATGTAGATGTAAATCCCTTTGTTATTATATAAAAAAGGATAAATTATATAAAATCACCTCATAGTTTAAGTGTTTTTTAAAAAAGCCACCGTGTAGTTTTAATTCAATCAATTAAATCCCTTCAACTTTCAAATTGTAACAATTAAGCATATTTATTAATTTTAAGACCATAATATCATCATCCATCAACAAAACTGTCGATCACATCTCTCTTGTACCATTGCCGCCCACTAACAACCACCCTCCACTGCCACCCATTTTTGGCCACTGTCTTATGGTGTTGGATTTTTGTTGTTTAATGATAATTGGTGGGAATTGTGCGACAATATTTTCCATTGCAAATAGATCATTCTACCATGTTCAGATCTGGCATCCTCATCCACCATTTTTTGTTCCCTTTGTATGCGTTTTGATTATCTCAACCTAAGTAGTGAAATTTTTTCTAAAGTACATAACACAATACACAGTTGAAAATCCAATCTAAAAAAGAGAAAGAAAAACAACTTCAAAGATAAAGCTTGGTGTATCATGGGTGACTTTAATACCTACCTTCATTCAACAGAAAAAAAAGGGAGGTGGAGATCCAAATTGGAGGAGCATGCAAGATTTCCAGGAGTGCCTTACATCTTGTCATCTTACTGATCTAGGGTATCAGTGTCCTGATTTCACCTGGAGGAGAGGTACTCTTTTGGAGCGTCTTGACCGCGCCTGCGCAAATGATAGCTGGAATGTGTTATTTTCAAATAGAAGTCTCTCTCACTTGCCCTATTTTAGTTCGGATCATCACCCTATTTTGTTATAGGAAGGGCAACCTACTTTTAATTCTAGTGGTGCTCGCCCATTCAGATTCCTGGCAGCCTGGCTAACTCATACTTCTTTTGACAATTTAGTTAAAGGTAGCTGGACTAGTGACCGGGATTGGCAGTCAGCTAGTGATCATTTTCGTGAGCAAGCAACTAACTGGCATAAGGATGTTTTCAAGGAGGAGGAGAGAAAAAAGCATCAGCTCCATTCTCGCCTTCGAGGAATTGACTGTTCCTTAAGTCAATATCCGAGTGAAGCTCTTGAGAGATTACAGAAAGAGATTTGGCAAGAATTAAATACAATCTATCTTCGAGAAGAGCTTACTTGGTATCAGCGTTCAAGAATGGATTAGATCAATTTTGGTGACCGTAACTCAAAAATTTTCCATTCTGCAACAGTGTCTAGGCGCAGAAGGAATAGGATTGATGCTCTTCAAGATGAGGCGGGAGAATGGATTGGTGATTCTCTTTCTTTCATGAAAATGGCAACGGAGTACTTTAGCAAGTTATATAAGGAAGATAACCTTTTTCGGTCTACCTTCCCTATAAGTAACAAATTTCCTGAAATGAACATTCAGGTTCTGCATATGTTAAAGAGACTTCCTAGCAATGAAGAAATAAAGGATGTTGTGTTCTCAATGGGACCCTATAAGGCGCCTGGCATTGATGGTCTTCATAGCATCTTTTTTCAAAGCCATTGGAGTGTAGTGGAGTGGAGGAGTCTGTTTGCATGTTTATTCAGGATGTTTTTAATAATCCCCACAGGATAGAGGAAGTGAACCAGACTATTCTTTGCTTGACACCTAAGCTAGGAACTCCCAGTCTTTTAAGGATTTTCGTCCAATTAGCTTATGCAATGTAATTTATAAGACGGTGACAAAAATTCTTGCTAATCGTTTAAAATTGTAGATGGTTAAGTTAGTGATGCCAAATCAATGCAGTTTTATCAAAGGAAGGCAAGGCTCAGATAACGTGATAATTGCTCAAGAACTCATTCACTCAATGAGGACCAGGAGAGGTAATAAAGGATGGATGTCAATCAAAGTGGATCTAGAGAAAGCTTATGATAGAGTTAGCTGGGATTTCCTCAAGGATACTCTATTTGACGTGGGGTTACCTGAAAGCCTGATAAACCTTATTATGTGGTGTGTTTCCTCATGTATAATGAATGTATTGAGGAACGGAACTCTCACTAAGGAGTTCCATCCCACTCGTGGTTTAAGACAAGGCGACCCGCTATCTCCATACCTTTTTGTTCTTTGTATGGAAAGGCTGGCTCACCTTATTTCCCTTGCAGTGGAGCAGCAGGAGTGGAAGCCGGTAATAATAAAAAGAGGAGCTCCGCCAATTTCCCACCTATTTTTTGCTGATGACCTTCTTTTGTTTGCTGAGGCAAATCAGGATCAGGTAACTACTATTCAACATGTCTTAGATACTTTCTGTACCTCTTCTGGACAAAAAGTTAACGAGGCAAAGACCAGAGTGTATTTCTCTCGTAATGTGGGCCATAACAAAGCAAAAGAACTTAGTGATAAACTGGGTTTCTCCCTCACTGCAGACCTTGGCCAGTATTTGGGTATTCCCCTTCATCATAGGAGAGTGGGTAGATCTACTTTTTCCTATGTTCTGGATCGGCTTAATGGTAGATTCAATGCCTGGAACCATGCCAGTTTGTCTTTGGCTGGTCGAGTTACATTAGCTAAGGCGGTTTTAATAGCAATTCCAGCGTATCCTATGCAAGTTTGCTTATTCCCCCAAACCACTTGTGAAGAGATTAATACTAGAATTAGAAGCTTCATTTGGGGTTCATCTACTACGGCTAGGAGGCCACATCTGGTAGCATGGAATCAGGTTTGCATGAATAAAGATCAAGGGGGTCTTGGCCTTCGTAGTACAAGGAGATTGAATTCATCGTTCATTATTAAAGTTGGTTTTAATCTTCTCGCTCAACCTAATGCTCTGTGGGCCAGGGTCCTTAGGTCAAAATACAAGGTGGAATCTGTATGATCCCAAACATAATTGCACCAATCGGAAGCTCGCAATTGTGGAAAGGGATTAAATGTCATTGGGACGTCATTCTTGAGCACAGCCGTGTCCTATTAGGAAATGGTACTTCCACTTTATTTTGGTTAGATAATTGGCTTCCTGGGAGTGGTCCACTTTTACCCCATGTTGTCTCTCATATTTTAGAAGCAGATAAACTTCTTCATGTGACTGATTATGTGGACACATCTAGTTGTTGGAAATGGGATAACATTCAACAATTGCTCCCTGATTACATTACTGATCGTATCATGAATGTAGTTCCTCCTTCTGATCATGATGGGAAGGACCGCATCATTTGGAATGGGACAACAGATGGAGTTTTTTCTCTGAAGTCAGCTTACTCCATCTTGGATAATAGTGAAAATCTGATTGACAATCGACAATGGAGGCGAATCTGGAAGTGGATGGAGCCAGAAAGAGTTCGTATATTTCTTTGGTTAATGGAGGGTGAGAAGCTTTTGACTAACGCTAGAAGATTATAACGTCATATGACTATTTCAGATAGGTGCCCTCGATGTAACTACAGTAGTGAGACAGTCCTCCATGCCATCCGAGATTGTCCGAAGTCGAAAGCGATTTGGTCTTTAGTTGTGAGCAGCACAAAATGGCAAGATTTCTTCGCACCAAATCTTCATGACTGGGTGATGACTAATCTGGATAAGAACTGTGGTTGGGGATGGGAGGAAGATTGGTCTCTTCTTTTTGGAATTCTTTCATGGATTATCTGGAAAAGTAGAAATGCTTGGGTCTTTGAAGGAAAGGATCAGAATGCATATGAAATTAGCCGCATAGCCTTAGCCTACAAAATAATGTGGACCTAGCAGCAGCTGCTTTGAATGGTTTAAATCTCCAGGGGAGAAGTCACGAAGACAAACTGATAGCGTGGTCTCACCCTCCATAGGACTGGGTCAAACTTAATGTTGACGGGTCTAGCTTGGATAATGGCCTTAGGACAAGGTGCGGAGGAGTGCTGCGTGACGCTTCAGGAGCATGGATTATGGGATTTTGCAGGAACTTAGGTTCAGGAACGGTTCTACAAGCTGAGTTGTGGGCTTGCTTGGAAGGTCTTCAGTTGGCTTGGAATAAATGATATGTGAAAGTTTGGTTGGAAGGAGATTCACTCACAGCACAACATTTGATAACTAAGAGGTGTCTTCAAAATCATCCATCTGCAACATTGGTTCAACGCATTATATGCATGCTGCAACTTAATTGGCAGTTCCATATCCCACACATTCATCGTGAAGGAAATGGGGTGGCTGACTGGCTAGCCTCTTACGCGTATGGATTCTCTTGGACAGTTCAAACTTTTGAAGAGCCTCCTCGTGGTTGCTTAGGAAGACTATATAGTGACATCATTGGTATTTGCTGGTCAAGGCGTAATGCCTAATTGTTTTTCTTTTTATCTGTTCTTTGTTTTTTAATTTCATGTTATTGTCCAAAAAAAAAAGATAATTTGGTTGTTATCTCTTTCAATTTTTTTGGCAATATAACACGTTAGGATTAACATTTTTTTGGATATATTTTTGGCGAGGGTGACTGAAGTTTGACAACAACGAGAAATTAGGAAAGTTGAAGGTATGGCACGCAATGACCAAAGGTCAACGGAACGGTGATGAACGACAAGTTAAAATTACAATTTGAAATATTTTGGTCTTAAAATTAATAAATATGCTTAATTGTTACAATTTGAAAGTTGAAGAGGTTTAATTGATTGAATTGAAACTACAATGTGACTTTTTAAAAAACACTCAAAGTAGGAGGTGGTGGTGGAATATAATTTATCCTATAAAAAAAAGAAAAAAAGGTTTATCATTCCAAATGATATAATTTTATATTAACTTTAATGAAATTATATCATTTTTAGTGTTTTTATATTTTTTCTCCTCCACTCTTTTTTTTTAATTTTATAAAAAAAATACATCAAAACAACATAATTTTATTAAAAACAACACAAAATTATGTGATCTAAAATTACAAACTTCTCATGAAAAAAATGAGTAATAAATCAGACATATATAACATTTACAAGAAGGAGTGAAAAATGACGAACCAGCACCGAGCACGAGCACTGCAAAGAGACTCATTCCCACCGCGAGCAGGTGCCCCTCACTCTCCCTCGCTTCTGATTTCTGTTACTCTGTTATTGTTAATTTCTTCCAAATATCTGTGACTCTGTACAATTTTTTTTTTTTTTTCAATTTGTTGCTAATCCATGACCAGAATCTGTAAAATCTTCTTGTTGTTTTGATTAAAATGATTGCGGAATAAAAATGCTTCAAGAGGTGGCGATCTCGAATCTCTGCAAGGGACCATCGTTAATAAATCTTTGAAAGGAATAGATTACTGTTGTTGAGTTCCACAGTAACTCCTCCATTTCGATATATATTTATTGTGCCTTTTTTTTATTTGAAAAGGGTCTCCTATTCCTTCGGTTCATGGCTAGAAGTTACAACAGGAAAAGAAAAATAGAATAGTTTTCAAACAAATTATTAGTATTTGATATTTTTTTTATTTGTTTTTTTTCGACTAATTTGTATTGCATGGAGGAATACAATCTGTTCGAAGTATGTCCTGAACTGAGTGATTTTTCTCTCGTTGTGTTTAGTGCAATATCTTTGTGACAATCCACTGATATAAAGAATGATGATGTTCCAACTCTTTACTCTGATCATATTTTTGCTGCAGAAAAAAGAGCAGCATGTACTTGATTAATAACTAGTAACATTTTTGAGTCGTGGATTTCATAGCATTTGCCCATCTTGGCCGTGTGCGGTGTATGTTTGAATGATCAGCTTTTGATTATTGTTCTGGTTTGAATTTGGAGCCGTGTATTTTGGGAGGATGTATTCTATTCAACAAGATCTTATATGCATTCATTCTTCGTAAATAAAGTTTTTTTTTTTTTTTAACATATTAAATTAAAAATTTTAGATTAACCCACTCACAAATACTTTTTTACCAAAAGTTTGACTTCCTAATTACACGTCGAGGATATGTAGACACCCATTCATAGCCAAGCATGTAATTTAGCATCTGACCTTTACTTTTCTCCCAATTTATAAAATTTATAATTCAGTCTTTTAATTTAATGCTATACAAACTTATAAATATTATAATTTAGTTTTTGATTAATGATTATTTGTTTACTTATTCTTGCCATTATCATGGGGTAAACTGAATATGTTTAGACTATTATAATTCACTCAATTAACTTAAGGTCAAGGATAATTGTTTTTTGACAGATGTAAAGGATGTAATCGTATTAGTTTCGGCTGTCCATGTGCATAAATATATTGAATAACTTGACTGTTTTTGCAGACCAAATTTCATTTATTCTAAAAAGATACATATATATTTTTTTTCCAATTTTCTCTTTCAAATGAAATCAGGAGCCACTGCCTAAGTCATTTGTATTCAGTTGTTCAGCCCTCTGCGAGGCTTCTACTGTAACAGCTCCATATAATTAAAATACTTTAGAAGCTTAATTAGTAAAGAATAATCCATGGCACTTTTCATTGAATTTGTTCATGGTGCAAGGCCTGTTCACAATTAATCTCATCTTTGATAAGCATCTATAACCCAAGTTATAGAGAGCCAATTTTTTGTGTATTTAGGCTGGATGGAAAATTAATGAAGAATACTCCAATTCAGGAAAATTGGAGGGAATGTAGCTAGGGATTTCGTATACAGAAATATTTACACACCTACGGAATTTTCTGTAATTTTGCTGATCAAAACAGCTGCCTTCAAAAATTAATATTTCAGTTCGTAGTTGCCCAAAAATCACAAACAATATATCATTGGAAAGCTTGAGAAGCCCTCTATAACATATCAAAATTTCAGGATTTTTTAGTAAATGTGTTGTTCCCAGTTCCCTTAGGAAGATGGTTGTCTTGGCTGCAGACCCAGCTTCGGTCAGCTTCTTGTTAATTCAATATCTAAGCCTACACTTGTCTAAATGTTAAATGATATCTTGTTGGAAAGCTTAGGATGTCTAGTTTAATATATCCAAACCTTGTAATTTTTGAGAGATGCAATAATTCCCAGTTTTAAAAGTAATCAGTGCTGCCAGTGTGTTTTTATTGTTGAGATTTAACATGCTTTATTTCCCCAAATTGCTATATGACCATGAAGTCAATTAGGCTAAATATTTATTGGTTGTGTATATCAATGGAAAGAGACTTGACCATGGCTCCTTTCCATAATAATAAATAAGACTCATATGAGTCCTCTTGCATAGCATTCAGCTCCCTAAAGAGATGCACATATTTAGGCCTACACGCAGTGTTGCTCTCTGAATTTTGTGCATTATGTAGTATTCTGTTCCATACGAAGTATTATACTTCTTAAATTTATGCTTTAAATATTTAAATACCATTATCTGTGCATGATGGGAATTCCTTAATTTTCTTTTTACTGCTCAAAAATCATAACGTGTAACAAGCTGGGTCGACACAGGCGTTGCATCTACTCTCTTTGATTCAACCCATTCTTTTTATCCTTTGTTTTTTTTCCTTATCCTTTTTTCTTTTATGATTTTTCAGCTGGATTTTGGACTTTTATGTTTTCGGTAGTTTCAGTCAGAGGAGCAAGACATGGGTTTTCCTGCACATTTAAGAGGTTCATTTTTGTTGCTCAAATAAAGCATCTCTTTTATGTGATTTGTATTTCTCTCTTTCTCTGTTTGTGTCTGTTCATTTGTTCAGTAATTATTGCTGTTTCTTGGTTGGTGTTATCTTTGCATTGTATACCTGCTTGCTAAGGGGTAAAAAAAACTTTTGCTTCTTATGTTTGCTACTTTGCTCATTATTAGGGTTCAAGATATGTAGGGCTGCTCCTGAATAAGCTTCGTATCTTCTCAACTTACTTCTGTAAACCAAAAGTTAAAGATAGCTATATAATGTAAATCACACAATAAAATGTATACTTTGTAAAAGATACAATCTAATGCTCATGCATTTCCTTTTGCTGTTGCTAACACTTGACAGGTCTGTAGCCTTTTTAAATTGTATTAACAGATAAAATATGCATCTTATCAAACAGTAAAAGAGGTTTGTGTCTCCATTGTCTTCAAGGGGAAGGCGGAAGTGTCCCTCCTAGATGTTGAGACTAAAGTAGTAAAACACAGTATTTCTCCATTATGCAGTTAATTTGCTTTGCTGATTTTCTTTTATGAGATTGTTGTGAACGATATGTGTCATAGTTCCTGCTCTTTTTATAGTGCTCCTGATTCCTGAATACAGATTTATATTCTTGCTATGCAGAGATAGCTTATACTGGTTATGCTATCTAGTCGAAGATGTTCCAACTGTTGCATTGTACCCTACTGCAACTTCATATTTCCGATCTTTTACTCCTCATCACTGCATGCATCCAAGAACATACCGGACACCAAGGTATCTTTCAAGAGTGCCCTCTGTATCTTCATCAGGTTTTCTTTTAATGCAGATATCAAATATTGTTGGAAGCCATGGTATTCTGGGAAACTGGCTATCTGCCAGATACATAAGTAATGCATCAGTTGAGCTAAAGACTGACAATGATGTTGTACGGTTCTCCCTGGATAAGCCCGATGATATTAATTCTGCTAAGAGCCAGAAGAAGAAAACAGTTAAAATGTCTAAAAAGGCTAAGCTGAATGAGCTCAGATTCTATCGTCTGAAGGCCAAAAAAAAGATGAATTCCCCAAATCCAGAAGTTAGAATTAGATATAAGCTTGAAAAGGTTGGACTTCATTGTAACTGCAATTTCTAGTTCAAAGCTTTAATTCTTGTAGCTGCAGCTTTTACCTTGCTTCAGCTGTTTGTTTGTCGTTATTGTTGATTTACTTTCATGAATTTTTATTCCCTTTCGGGTACGTACTCTTAATATTTTATCATCTATGTTTTCGACATTCCCCAGTTTTCTAATAATTGTATGGGCATTGTTCTGATAATCCCTGAATGAAATTGCTGCGACATCTCTTTGTTGTATGGGCAATGAATATAACCGTAAAGTTGCTGCATGTGGTTAACTTATAGGCCAAGCGAAAGGAAACATGGTTGATTGAGAAGCTAAGGAAATTTGATGTACCAAAACCCCCAGCAGAAACATTTGATCCTGAAATTTTAACTGAAGAGGAGAGGCATTACCTGAAGCGCACTGGTGAGAAAAAGAAGCACTATGTTCCAGTTGGGAGACGAGGAGTGTTTGGTGGGGTAGTTCTAAACATGCATCTCCACTGGAAGAATCATGAGACCGTAAAGGTTATCTGCAAGCCTTGCAAACCAGGACAGGTTCATGAATATGCAGAAGAGCTTGCTCGGCTGAGCAAAGGCATTGTGATTGACATCAAGCCCAATAATACTATCATTTTTTACCGTGGAAAGAACTATGTACAGCCAAAAGTAATGTCACCTTCTAATACTTTATCAAAAGTGAAGGTAAGTTCAACTTTGTGTTAGATATTCATTGGTCAAATGTATTTGGGAATATATATATATATATGAGGTAGGATCCTTTAACACCAGTGTCAAATTTGAAATTTGATACCTCATCTGAGAGTCGTTAGATTAAAAAAGATCAACGACTCTGATTTGTAAGCATGTGACATCATTGATCTTTTTTGATCTAACGGCTATCAGATGAGGTGTCAAAGGATTCTGCCTCTATATATATTCAAAGGATCCTGCCTCTCTCTCTCTCTCTATATATATATAGAGAGAGAGAGAGAGGCAGGATCCTTTGAATATATATAGAGGCAGAATCCTTTGACACCGGTATCAAATTTGAAATTTGACACCTTGTCTGATAGCCGTTAGATCAAAAAAGATCAATGACTCTGATTTGTAAGCATGTGACACCATTGATTTTTTTGATCTAATGACTCTCAGATGAGGTGTCAAATTTCAAATTTGACACTGGTGTCAAATGATCCTACCTCATATATATATATATATATATATATATATTCCTTTAACACCGGTGTCAAACTATATTTGAACCGTTGATTTCCGCCAATCTAACGGTTATAATTTATTGGGAATTAATAAGTGTGATCCAATAAATTATGAAAGCTAGATTACGGAATTCAATGGCTAAAATTTGGTGTCAAAGGATTCTGAGTCTATATATATAATGTTATTTTTTTGTTGAAATTCTAGGGTTTAGGTAAAGAAGGAGAAAATGAGAATAGCAACTCGGAATAATATGATATTAAATTGATATATGTATTATGTGATACAAAATACCAACTCAATAGTCCTATATATACTGATACTAGACTCCTAATCCTAATTAAATAAGGGAACAAATAACTTCCTAAAGATAAGATAAAATCCATAAGGATATGATAAGGTTCCTAACAAAATAAGATCCGTAAAAATAAGGTAATACAATTGTCCCTAACATAACATAAATCAACCTAATTTATTATGCTTCATTCTCTCCCTCTAAAATACTTTGTAATATTCTAACAATATTGAACTATTCCTATCTTTTCCTGCCATCAGAACTCGGTACTTCTTGTTTCTCCCTTTCTCTTGGGTATTTGAAAGTGTAGAAATAATCTACTTGAGGGTTGGGCAGTTGTCAAGAATGGCAGGATCATAAGGGTTTGAGATTATACCAGGTTCTAAATCATTCAAATAAAAAAAATTCATGTTATAACGGGAACCGTCTTCTCTTGATCAGCTTAAACTACATTGATAGGAATGATTTACATCTTTATATAGTTTTTAAATATTAATCAGCAGCATATCATAATGCTCATTTATTAAATATGGTGAATATGGTTAGCTATGATAGTTTGTGGGCTGCTATGGATTTATGTTTTAACATATTGCAGCTAAGAGAAGTACCGTCTGGCTGGCCTCATGCAGTGAATTGAGGCTATTTATGCTTTGTATCTAGAGACTAGTTCTCTTTTATTTACATATACATGTATTAGTGATGGAACCAGACAAATAACACTGAAATTATAGAGATAATGGAGGCCATGCCTCTTTTTACATACACTAATATGCAGAAAATAAATCCCAAGAAACCTCAACTCCCCCTCAAACCGACAGACCTAGGTTCAAGAGTTCCTTAGAGGTCTCCAAACTTTCCCACTAAACCAATACTGAATTCATGCATACCTCACTACATACACTCACTCACCTTTTATCCTACTCATTAGAATATTCTACAATAACTAACTAACTGACCACTAATTTTTAGGCCCGTCAATATTCCCCCCTCTAAAATTCACCTTGTCCTCAAGGTGGGTGACATGAACCAATCTCCACCCGGATCCCATTGTTTTAAGCTTATAAACCAAGTTATGCTTGAAGTCGAAGAACTGTCGTTGGGTGCTGCTGCAACCTTACCAATTGTTGTTCCCTTGTTGCCCACTATTGGCATTTTTGGTCACAAAACAGAGTATAACCTTGTTGTCCCCGATCTCTGTTTGTTGTGGTGTTTCTGGCCAAAAAACAGAGTGCCTTGACATGAAATTCCAGCCATGTATTATCCCCTCTTCTTCTTGCACCATTATTTGTAAGTTCTGTCTCTCTTGTTCCACCATTCTGCCTTCATCCAGATTCAGTGAGAAGGGTGCTCTGAACCTAAAAGATTTCGCCATTGTTTGTCGTTGAACTCCTCCGATGAAAGTCATCTGAATCTCGCCCCATAGTCTTTTTCTCCTTCTGAAATAGCTTCACCATTCCCCAACAGCATCAGTTGTAGATGCGGATTCTGCCATCGTCGGTTGTTCCTCTCTTCTGGTGATGGCCTTTCGAACTTCGGCAACAACTGTCTGAACCTTGCTTCGCCCTTCCATTTCCGTCAGGGTTTCGTCCAACCCAATTTGTTTTGTCGAAGGTTTCTGCATTTGTGAGATCAGAATTCCTTGACCCAGCTAACTTGATATGATTTGGGTCATTTTGTTGGAATTGTATTTCGTGAGTCCAGTCCACTTGTGTTTCGTCTTTCACTGGTTACTTGAATTACCCCATTTTGGGGCGAAACATTTGGGTCTGTTCGCCCAATCACCTGCAACCCATTCTGGTTTTCTTTATTGGATAACAAAGGTAGTATCAGAAACCCACTTTCTCTTCCAGGCTCAATCCTGTTCGACCCACCATCATCCCAATTCGACCTAAGATCTGTTCCCTTTCTTCCACTGTCAGCTTGATAGCCTTTGTTTGATTCACAGAGACGTAACCCAGGCCGGGTTGGCCATGGCGATGTAACTTCGCCTTGTCTTGTCTCCATATTCTTTCTCTCCTCCTTCGTCTTCAACTATTTTTTCATTTTTTTCTGTTTCAGCTTTCTTTGTTTCGGATTTCCCTAAATCTCGATCTGTTTTGATCTTCTTCAACCTTTTCTTTTTCTGCATCTTCACCTACTGAAATTTCTTCTGCATCTCTATTTTTTCCCTCTTTTGCAATGATAACGTTGTCCACTCCTTCTTTGGTTTTCCGATCTACATTTTCTTCGTCATGTTCTGGTGTTTGTAGTTGCTGTCCTATTTCTGCTGCGTTGTGTTCTTCTTTTTCTCCTTTTGCATTTCCTTCTTCTTCTGCTCTTTCTATCCTTCCCTCTTCTGATTGTGCCTTTTTCTCCTTTTTTCTCCTTTCCTTGTTGCTGCCTTTTCTTTTCTTTTTTTGGTTTTCTTCTTCTTCATTTCTAAAACGCAGCGACTTCATCTTCTCATTTTCCAGTCTCCGTGTTCTCAACCACTCAATTGTTTCATCCAACACCGTCATCATTTTTTCTAAACCTTCCCTACGCTCACTAATTCCTACCATTTTTTATTTTTATTTTTTCTTCTAGATCTGGACTAGAAGCACCCCCTAGATCGGACGCGCTCTGATACCAAATTGATGCAACCAGAAAAATAACACTGAAATTATAGAGATAATGGAGGCCATGCCTCTTTTTATATACACTAATAAGCAGAAAATAAACCCCAAGAAACCTCAACTCCCCCTCAAACCAACAGACCTAGGCTCAAGAGTTCCCTAGAGGTCTCACAATTTCCCCACTAAACCAATACTGAATTCATGCATACCTACTACACAAACTCACTCACCTTTTATCCTACTCACTAGAATATTCTATAATAACTAACTAACTGACCCACTAATTTTTAGGCCCATCAATTAGTAAGCCCTGTGATTGTTTTCGGAGAAATGAAATGATTGGTGACTACAAAGTGCTGATTCATTGTTTACCTGGATTATATTTTGCTGAGAAAGCATCCCCTCCTATTCTTTTAGCATAAAGCTCATGGTTTTTAACTTAGTATGAAAACTTAAAATTTTCAGGCCTTGGAGAAATATAAGTATGAGCAGTCCCTTGAGCATACAAGCCAGTTCATTGAAAAGTTGGAGAAAGAACTTGAAGAGTATCATCAGCACCTTGCAAAGTTTAAAAAAGGCAGAGAGGGTACAACGAAAATTGTTGGTTGGTATATTACTGTTATATCCAATTGATGTTAATGAAGCTTGATTTAGAAATAAATATTTCGTAAGAAAAATTGTTTTCTTGCTTCTTTCTGTCCTTCTTTAGAATATGTCATAACCTTTATATTAACTTGTGATTCAACTGATGTTTTGAAAGTGTGGCAGAGCCTATCAAGTAGGGTTTATGTAACAATGCGATTACACACTGCTTAATAGAAAAGCATAAGTAAAAGCAGAAATAATGAGAATAAATGGAAAATGTCTAAAATATTAAAGTTTTAAGCTGCATATTGCTCCAATGGTGCATTTGGTCAGACACATTGTAAAATTGTGGTTTTTTATGTCAGGCATTGAGGAAGCATGATACTATCTTTGCTGGACACAAATGTCACATACATTAGGCTCGGACATCCAATTGGCTCTTGAGCAATGTAAGATCCGACATTTTTATCTTTCTTGAAGTGGTATAAGTTTTGCAAGAGATGTCAAGTTGTCTATATGTTAGGCATGAAAGCCTAATATTACAAAGGAAAAGGCTGCACATTATGTCTTGACTTATATGCAATAACATATCGTTTTAAGATGACGGTGCTGTTGACATTGAATTACCTGTTTGGATAGTGGCTATATTGGTGGGGTTTCTTTGTTGGATATGTTGATTTATTTTTGAAGCTTTGCTCTCTTGATTTTTTTATTTTTTATTTTTCATTTTTATTTTTTTAGGTTTTTTGGTGGTTTCTTTTGAAGGATATCTTATTCTCTAAAAAAAAAAAAAACACAAGAAGAAGAGCATTTGCTTTTCGTTTTTTCTAATGGGACTTTTTATAAATGTTACCTCATTATACATGTATTGATGGGACAAAATGTATATTTTGCTACCACTTATCTGGTTTGATTTCTGAACAGATGAATGCATGTTCCTCTGCAGTCCTTCTCCCATGCTATAACGATTACATCAGTTACACAGTCTGTGCGTGATGAAATGTCAAGCATCCCACATATTCTATTCCAAGGTCTTGTTCATTACTTCGGATGTTACTGATTGAAGAAGGATTGCTCAAACCCTTTCACCGAAAGTGACTGAAACACAGTTCACATGACATGACTTCCTTTGTAATAGGTTTCTTTATTATTATTTTAAACAATGGTTACAATGAAGTTGTGAATTATTTAAATACATCTTTATTAACCCTATTCTAGTAACTTAGATTTTTGTTAATTATGTAACTTAGACATTGTGCTGTTGTGGTTAGCGTCCCTCTCTTTCTACTCCGGTCCGGGTTCAACTCCCTGGTCTGCAATTTCTTCATTGGTTTGGAACGAAGATATTGTAGATGTTGATGTAACTATTAAAAAATATACCGATAAATTAAATGGGTTTGGTGTTTGTCATTTTAAATGACACAAGTTATGTCATTTTAAGAGAGATAGACACAAAAAATGAAAATCACGAGAGAGAAAGTGGGTGGTTATTTTTTAATTTAAATTTTAAATAAAAAAAATTATTTTGTGTCTATCACTCTCTTAAAATGATATAATTTTATGTCATTTAAAATAACAAATATTTTTTTTAAATTAAAATAGGATAAAATCTCCCTTTAATTTCAATAGAGTTTTTTTTTTTTTTTTTTAATTTATATGGCTGTAACAAACTTGCAACTCATGGCATTGAAACAAATCGTATAAAATATCTTCTATATTTGCAAATAAGGTCTTCGTTCCTAATATGAAACAAGAATATACTCAACAATGAAAAAGGAGAAATGAAATATTAATTTTTTGATCTCTATTACTATAATAATAATATACTTTAATAGAACGATCTAGTTGGCTTTAACAAACCTACATCTCATTGCACTATATAACAGAATATTGTTTGTAACAAATCATATAAAGTCTTCAATATTTACGGCGTATAACAACTCAATCTTCATAAACCGTGAGAATTTTCTGTACGCGTACTGCAGGCTAAATTTAGACTAGGCAAAACTTGTAAGTTTAGAAATTCCCGTTGTTAAATTTTAAACTGCATGATATTTTTCTAAAAATAACTGATAATTAATAGTAATTTCAAACAGAAAAGGTAGGATGGCATTCTCGTTGTTACAGCCAAAGATAGCGTACATATTGTAAATTCAGGCGAATCTGTTGCCTACATAAACCGCTCTCACTTGCACAAACAGACAAATCGTAACACAACGGAACCAAACCCAAACCAAAAAATGAGAATCCTACGACCTCTCCATCTCCTACTATCCCTCGTCTTCTTGGCAGCCGCATTCTCAGCGGCCACCGCCGTAGAAAACGGCGGAACCACCGGCAGTGACGCCAACATTGATTTCATCCGCACGAGTTGCAACACCACGCTCTACCCGAAAGTCTGCTACAGTTCCCTCTCTCGGCACGCCAATGATGTCCAACAGAACCCTAGCCAGCTGGCTCGCGTCGCCATAGCCGTTAGCCTCGTGAAGGTCCAAAGCACGGCCTCCTACCTCTCCAACCTCACGCTCGAAGCCGACAACTCGCCCGCCGCCAAGGCGGTCCATGACTGCTTCTCGAAATTAGACGACGCCGTCGACCAAATCCGCGACTCACTGGAGCAGATGCGGCAAATAGGATCCTCAGGCGCCGGCGATGGCACCAGCTCGTTCCAATTCCAGATGAGCAACGTGCAGACTTGGATGAGCGCGGCGATCACCAACGAGGAGACGTGTATGGACGGATTAAACGACGTATCGGAGGGTCCGGTGAAGACGGATGTATCCCGACGGGTGACGAAGGTGAAGAAGATAACAAGCAATGCTTTGGCGCTTGCCAATAGCTATAGCAACAAGGGAATGCCTTGAAGTTTCAGATTCTTCAGTCTTATGTGATGTTGCACAGAAGATTAACATTTACAACGATGATCAAACTAACTAACTGATTAACATTTATTTTTCAAGCAATTCACCAAACTCGTTTATTGATTGAATTAATGCAACATTTTCAGGATTTAATTTTGGTACGATGTTAATGTATTTTTTTTATTATTATTATCATTCAATCTTGTTTGGACAGGAAACTATATATAATAAAGGTATATATAATACGAGAAAAGTGTGTGTCATTTCAAATGATGTAAAGTTGCGTGAATTTAAATGAAAAAAGAGATAAATCATGAGTGAAAAAAAAACAAAATAATATAGGATTTAATATTTCTGCATTGAGTGCAGATAAGTTATCTACATTTACTTATAAAACGACGTCGTTTTGGGTTGAAAGATTAAAAAATTATAATAAGAAAGATTATTATAACACTGGAATAAATTATAATTACAAAAATACTTTGATTTTCGTCATAAAACGACGTTATTTTGGACTCAACGTAGATAACTTATCTACATTGACTCTAGAAAAAATAAACCCTATAATAAAATTGACTACATTAATAATTGCATAACATCTCAAATCATTAAAAATGTGACAACATATCTTTCTTTTTATCTTAACTTTTAAATTTAGATGGACCAACTTATTTAATTCACTAACTCGAACAAATTAGAGGGAGGATTGAATTGTTGATTTGCATTCATTCGTTGTTTTGTGAGTTCGTCTAAAATGATATTTGTATTTACTATTGAATGGATGAGTATAATCTATTCGAAGTATATCCTTAACTTAATGATTTTGCTCTCTTTATGTTTAGTATAATATCTGTGTGAATGGTCATATTTTACTTCTACTTCTCACTTGTTTCTTCCATTATATTTTGAGAAAAATAAATTTTATGTTGTAGGAGAATTTTAATCTCTTGTCATAGATACATCAAATGTGAAGCCCACTTATTTTAAAAAAATAAAAAATAAAAAAATGAGTGACACTCCTTTTTATGGTGTGTGTAGGAAGAGCTTCAAAGCACGGATACGCTACTTCAAAAAAAATTTGTCCGACACGGACACGCTCCGACACGCAGTCAACATTTGGGGACACGCGGTCAACTCTCCGACACGTTTTTTTGACACGCGGTCAACGCTCGGACACGTTTTTTTTTTTTTTTTTTTTAAATTCTTAATTTTATTTTGTTAACTAAATATAAAAGAAATAATTTATAAAATTTTTAAAATTAACAAAGTACGAAAAATTATTTATATTTATGTTATGAAATTTAAATATTTGATTGGTTATATGACTTATTATGGACTCTTATATGTATTAAATATAAATTATATTATATATATTAAAATTTTTATTTAATATCAAAACGTGTCCCAACGTGTCGAAATATGACATTTTTTATAATTAACGTGTCGGCGTGTCGTGTCGTGTCCGTGTCCGTGTCCGTGCATCATAGAGGAAGAGTTTGTTTTCTCATACAACATGAGAAAAACAAACCCCTTATATTTTTGCGCAGAAAAAGAGCAGCATATATGTTATTCACTAATCATCCTCTCTTGATGAGCTTAAACTACATTGATAGGAATAATTTACATTTTTATATAGTTTTTAAATATTAATCAGCAGCATTTCATAATGCTCATTTATTAAATATGGTGGATATGGTTTGCTATGATAGTTTGTTGGCTGCTATGGATTTATGTTTTAACATATTGCAGCTAAGAGAACTACCCTCTGGCTGGCCTCATGCACGCTAGTGAATTGAAGTTATTTTTGTTTTGGGAAAAGTGTATCTTATTTTAAATGACATAAGATGTGTCATTTTATAAATACAAAAAGGCGAGATCACACTTTTATTTTTTTTGTCTTTATTATTTTTTAGTAAGACTCACATCTCTTTGTATTTATGAAATGACTTAATTTATATCATTTAAAATGACATACACTTTTCCCTTTTATATTCTATCTAGGACTAATTCTCTTTTATTTACATATGCATGTAATAGTGAGCCGCGTGTTTGTTTTCGGAGAAATGAAATGATTGGTGACTACAAAGTGCTGATTCATTGTTTTACATTGGATTATATTTTGAAATGACGGTGCTATTAACATATTATATCATTAGCATATTTCCCCTGATATATTTGTGTCTCTGATCCGCCGGAACAACTGAAGTTCTCTCATTTTCCCTGAATTTCTCATTAAATTCCTTATTTGACTAGAGGTTATATTAGTCAGGTTTCGTTGTTGGATATCTTGATAGATTTTGGAAGCTTTACTCACTTATATGCCTTTGTCTAGGTGTTTGAGTGGTTTCTGTAGAGAAACAAGAGACAAAAGGAACATTAAAATAAATTTATACATTGAATTCATTCAGAATAGTATAATATGTAAAGAAACACTAATAGGCTTAGCCCAGACCTAACCTAAATCCTAATGAAATAAGGAAATAGATCTTTACAAATAATAAAGATATTCTAAAGATATTCTTTCCAACACTCTCTCTCAAGCTGAAAGGTATAGATCATAAGCAACAAGCTTGAACAAGAAAGACTAAGAAATATAACATCAAAATAAATCTCTTACTGAATGAGGAACGAAAATCATGCAATGTGCTAAAATGAACATGGACGGTGCTCCCCCTCAAGATGGAGCGACACTTCATCTTGGGAAGAAATAAGACTAAAACGAAGCTTCACGGAATATAAGCCAGAGAAATCGACAACAAATCAATTGGAATGAGCATCAATTTGAAGAGCTTGTAAAGAGATGGTGCTGGGATGGACATCAGCAAAGGAAGAAAAAGATATCAACCAAGAAAGGGCTGGGGTAGGCATCAGCCAAGCAAGGAGGGCTGAGATAGACATCAGCCAAGGAAGGCTGGGATAGACATCAACCAAGGAAGGACTGGGATAGACATCAACCAAGGAAGGACTGATATAGACAATGCTACAACTGGGATACAAGCCAACAGAGCCACTGTAACTGTCTGTGGACCAGGCAACAACTGAGATAAATGCTCCCCTTGAATGGGAGGCCAAAATAAAGCCAAACAATGGCAAAAATAAATAAATACAAGCCATATCAGACTTGAATAACACCACAAACATATTTGGGAATAAAATGAAATTGGCCAAATACAAGCCATAAAAGAAAATCAAAATAAAAATAATAAATCACCGAAGAAGAAGAAAGAATAGCTGGAAGAAACAAGATTCAACCGGAAAGGAGGTCTTACGCGCTGTCATGTGCGGAGGGAAATGCTGATGTGCAGAAAAAAGCGCGACTCCTTGCTGGCGCGTGCGAAGGTTAGCGAGCGGGGAAGACGATCCGAACTGTGGTCGTTGGCAGCCGAAAAGTCGTTGGACAAAATTTCGACGGTGGACTGTGGTGGTGATCGGATGAACAGGGACGACGAGAATTGCTGCTATGCAGAGGCAGAGATGGTTCTGGCCGGTGCTAGATGT